TGGCATTACATGGGTGGGTCTGGGGACCTGGGAAAGGAGGAGGAGTCAGTACCACTTAAAGTGTAGACAAAGATTGTATGAGAAGGGGGGGCATTGGAGCTGGAGGACACAGTGGGTAGGACGTGCCTTGCTGAGGTGTTGCTTTGTCAGCTCATGGTGTGCTGGGAGCTGGAGCAGGGCTGCAGGGCAGGAGGTGTGGGTGTCCCCAGGGAGGCAGGAGGTGTCTGCTGGAGGTTGGCACAGGACACATGCGAGGGTGGCAGACACACACCATTGATCCCATATTGATGCTTTCTGAACATAGGACACTGGAAAAATTCTGTCACTTTTTCCTACCCCTGGCAGAGCTGTGACCAGTGCACCACCTCTCTGATGTCATATGCTGACACAAGGGCATTGCTTTTGTACACGGTGCCCTTCAAAGAGAGTGTGTGTACGTCAGAGAGTTTCTCACAACAGCTTTGCATAGTAGTGCAGGTGTGATTTCACTAATTCTTCAAGAACAATAAAGCAAAATTCAGCACAGGGTAAGGCAAATGCACATTCATTTTTTTGGTGGCATTTTTCAGGTTACTATTAACCTTTCATTTGAAATTTAATGCTGAGGACTACATATTGATCCTGAGCAGTTCTTGGTCCTGTTCTTGGAACAGCATCAATTTTCCATTTACAAAACTACTTTTTTTCCAAACTTAACCCTATATGGGATGTTGTTAATTTTTTCCTGAGAGACACTTTCCAATGGAAACTTACTTTCTGGATCAGAAATTCAAACCAGTTTTGCCAAAGCCTAGGAATTACGAGAAATAAGAAAGGAAATGCTATAGGAAATAAGAGCTGAACTAGGGGAGGGACATGTTTAGAAGATCATGTCTAAGTGCAGAAAAGTAATTAAAACAGGGTCAGAATTACAGTTAAAATTAAAACAGGTCTGTGGCCAAATTTATAGATACTGCATGTCTGGATGATAGTGGGAAAAAACATTGAAAACAAAATCAGAGTAGTAGCTGGCAACACATAACATCTGGCAATGGATTTGACATGAAATTCATTTCAGAGAACTGGTGGGTGAAGAAATTTCTCAATTGGGAGGTTTGAAATTAGGTGATCTTTAAAGTCCCTTTCAACCCCAGCCATTCTATGATTCTGTGAAGCAATCCCAACATAATTCAATGGCATTTTTCCATGAGAAGCAAAGGTGGTGTAAGTGTCCCACGGTGCTGAGAAGGCTCCACTGCCAGCCTTCTGTATTTGGAAATTCAAATTCCTGATGCAGATAAGAAGCGCTGAGCCCAGTAAGACAGAGTTAATGGGCGCTTCCAGGGCCAGCTTTCATCATGTGTGCTTGAAGGTGCTGGTGCTGCAGTCAAGACGTGCTTCCAGCTCATAGGGATGGACCTGAGCTACACTGGCTGCTGAGGACATCACCCTGGCTGCTAAGCCAGCTTGAGATGCCGGATCATTCAGCTGAACCAGAGCCTCATGAAGTTATATTCATGTGCTGGTTAATTTGAAGCTGGCCAGTGGTGCAGCTGAAGTTTGTGCTCCTGCCATGCCTGTGATCCAGCACAGATGTATTCTGGTTATAAAGGATGGATGCAGATGGGCCCTCAGCATTTTTTTCATAGAACCATACAATGGTTTGGGTTGGAAGGGACTTTAAAGATCATCTTGTGCCAAACCCTGAGCCATGGGCAGGGACACCTTCTACTGGATTGGGCTGCTCAAAGCCCCATCCAACCTGGCCTTGAATGTTGAATGTTTCCAGGTACGGGGCATCCACAGCTTCTCTGGGCAACTTTGGCAATCTGTGCCAGTGCCTCCCCACTGTCACAGTAAAGAATTTCTTATGTATGTCTAACCTCAATTTCTCTTCTTTCAGTTTGAACCCATTACTACTTGTCCTATCACTATTGTGTGACAAAGAGTTTCTAGGTAAAGAGGTAAAGAGTTTGTAGGTAAAGAGTTTCTAGGGAGAAGAAGAAAAAGAGAAGGGAAGAAGAGAGGGAGAGGGTGAGGGAGAGAGGCTCTGGAGCAGGTTGCCAAGAGAAACTCTGGGTTCATCATCCCTGGAAGTGTTCAAGGCCACGTTGTATGGGGTTTTGAGCAACCTGGTCTAGTGGAAGGTGTCCCTGCCCATGCAGGGGGGTTGGAACAAGATGGTCTTTAAGGTCCCATGCAACCCAAACCATTCTGTGGTTCTGTGGTTCTGTGATTCTAAGATTATAGCATTGGTAGCTGGCAGAACTTTTTGGAGCTGTATGTGTGTGTGTGTGTGTGTGTGTGACCAAGGGCAAAAATTAATTTGAAGAGTGTTCAGTACAGTTGATTACCACAGGAACAACCAAGTCCATGGAACCATTATCAGACATAAAGCTGAGTTAGAAGTCAGATAGAAAATGAAAAACGAAGAAAACCCCTCTGCTCTTCTGGAAGGGAACTGAGCACAGCAGGGAAAAAAAGTAATGGAAAGAGACTGTGTGATAACTCTAGTTCTGCTGTACAACATTTGTGAGTCTTGTGACTCCTTTGTGGATATGGCTGCATACAGGGATGGGGTGGTCAGAGGGAAGGGCATGTGTTGGGTCCATCACTACAGAAACCTGATTTGACTGCTTAAAGCTGGAGAGATTTCCATGGAGGAATGGAAACCTGACTCATCTGTCTGAGCTTGGAAGGAGAGAAGAACACATTTATCCTTCATAATTTTAGTTACTGTCCTGAATTTTGAATCTCCAGTGATAGTTGACAGATATCCAACCAGTAGAGGGATTGTTTCTGCACTGCATGATGTGTCCCTCACAGCTGCACCCCTTCGGAGACCCATTCTGGCTGCAGAGGGATTGAATGTTGGCTAGACATCACTAAAGTGTGTTTTGAGAGGGTGGCTACGAGAGCAACCTGGACTGTTGATACCAAACTGCTCTCTGTAATTTTTTTGACCTGATATTAGATGGAAAATGGATCTTAACATGAGTCAGATTCAGAGTATTTCAATATCCTTTCCTTTTCTTCATTCTTGTATATTTAATTTAACAGATTTTTTTTTCTTATGTCTCTTATGTCATATGAACTATGAGATGGATCTATTACAGCTGTTTCATTTATATATTCTGGTTGCCTTTTAGGCACACTTCATACCATGATGATCCAGGACTGTTTTTTTATTTTGTTTTTGTTTTTTTCCTATTCCTAGAAGATTGCATAATCAAATGAAAGGGGGGAAATATGCATTATAATTGAATTTATTTGTAGAGTTGGGAGCGTGTTATATTTCATTTGTGGATCTGGGTTTGACAGTATCTTCTACTGCCTTGATTTTCTTATTTTTGGAGACAAATAGTTTTGCTTTCCACTGTGCTATGACTTAGGTCTCTGAACCATCGACTGCGCTACAAAGACAATTATTGAGCCATGAAAATATTAATTCCAGAGAAATCAGATTATTATTTGCACTGGGATGCAAAATAGCAAAGGCTTCAATGATGTTTAGGTAGAACTTTATTAACATCTGAATGTCTCAGGAGAGCTGTGGTAACAGTAGGAGAAGTATTAAACTCAGTGTTGTTTGCTTTTCTACAAGTAAACATAGTGAGAGTGAGCTATGGCAGCTAAAGAGCTCTTCTGCTTGTGCCTTGGGCTGTGGACATGTCCACTGCCTCCCCACTCCCTGGTTCATGGCCAGCCCTGCCAGGAGAGGACAGTTAAATTGAAAGGAACCAACCAAAGTTTATGGGTCCACCACACCAGTCTGCCCCAAAGCTTCATAAACACCGAGCCTGTGGCTAAGTTTTCCTCAGTCCCATGATTCTGTGTGTTATTTTTATGGGCCATGAAGGGATGTGCAGAGTTAGAGGTGGGGTTCTTCTGAGGAAATGGAGAAGACTCTGTCCAAATTAAGTGGCTAGTTTCCCTCTGTAGCCAGTGGAGAGGAAGAAGTGTTTCTAGGATGTATTATCTCCTTGTCCCCTCTGCAGAAGGTGTCTAAAATAGGCACAGGGACAATGTTTTCCTTTCACTGACTGCAAAGGGAGCTAGAGGTGGCCTTGCTCACATGAAGACATCTCATGGAGCTTGCCAGGATGTGTCATTTTAACATAGATCTGTTCCCCCTAAAGAAAGATAATCACCATTTCTGCCAGCTTCACCCAAACTCTTTCTTGATAGCAAGCTGCTTAAAGAATGAGAGGTTGCTGAGATTTATTTTAATAGTAAAATTCTGGGCTATGAATTTGAAAACAGAGCCATAAGCACAAAACTAAAAACGTAGTTAAATGTGAGTCTAGATTGTATGTGGGATATGAATCAATACTATTAATAAGACAAATAATATTCTTTCCTAGCCAATGCTAGGAAATTTTGTACTGCTTTTCATTTAGTCTGCTCAGCCCTTATCTCGGTCACAGGGACTGATCTCTCCTCCCACCATTATTCTGACTAGAGGTAATCCTCAGAGTTAGCACTGGATGGCATTTTCAGAGGTATCCCAATACTGGGTTTATCTCCCCTAATTTGCCTTGGGCTTCCTCTGAAATTGATGAATAAGGAAGGGCACTCTCAGAAGGTGAATCATCTCAACCATCTTGGACATCCAGCCTATCCTGGGATGACTTGTGCTCTGAGTGTGGCTTGCTCCATTAATCAAAGCAGAAGCCTCATCGGCTACTGTAGATCAGACACAGAAATTTGGGATCAATCCTGCTCTAAGAGACAGGGGAAAAAAAAATCTAGTGGAATCTGTGTCCTGTCTCTCAAGCGCTTTTGCAAATCCCACCTTCTGCCTTCGCATGTGTGCTGCACAGCACCTGGTGTGCTCTGTGCTTGCTCTGTGATGATACAGGGTGATCATCAAAGCGGCAGAAGCGCTGCACAGTATGTTCCACAACAACTACTTCCTTTCTGGTTTAATTATCACTGAGTTTGCTGCTCCCAAGTCTTGATTAATGAGCTTAATATGCAAATGTTATGATGAAACTGAAACTCTTTGTAATTGCTTGCAGACAGATTACCACTTCGAGTACACAGAGTGCGACAGCAGTGGCTCCAGATGGAGGGTGGCTGTCCCGAATCCGTCAGTGGAGTGCTCTGGACTACCTGACCCCGTGAAAGGGAAGGAATGCAGTACGTTGTGCCTTTTCATTTTACAGACTGTTACTGGCTTTTTGTGCTATTTACCCTTGTAGGGCTTCTTAGCTCCGTCACTGATGTCCTGAGTGTCCCTGAGTTAGTCCTTCCCCTCCAATCCTCCTGTCTCCTGGAGCTGTGGAGCAGGGATTGTCTTTGCAGTGGAGCTGTGCAGCTCATTGTCTGCTACAGGCACCTTTGTATGCTAATTCACAGACAAGGCATGTCTATGACAACACCCCTTGAAAAGATGTGGTTGCTTGTCTTGAGCTGCCCTGTTCTTAAGTTCTGTAGCTCTCCAGTTCGTTTGTAGCTGTATTGGCAAAAAATGGAGACCAGGAGTGGTCAGATTATATTTGCATAGTGTCCACATTCTTGTTACCTTCATCATTTAGCTAATTAATAAACTGCATGCATAAGGAATGGTAGATGTCTTATTTGCCTGAGTTATTTTCATGACAAAGTTCCTGCATGTTATTTATTTATGTATTTATTTTTAACAACTTGGAATGTTTTCATATCACTTGGTTTTGCGTTTTTTTTTTTTTCCAAAACATTGAAATACTCCTTTGCATCTGGGAACATAAGTGAACTGCTGCTCTGCAAACACATCCCTCACTGTTTTGTAGCTTCCCAGGCTGAATGTTCTTTCCCATCACACTTCCTTGCTCTACTAATTCTCTCCACAGTAGATCCTAGCAGTAATTTGTATCAGGGGCTATAAATTGTCGCATCTGACAAATAGAATGAAAAATGGCAACAACCTTTCAGCTCCACTCCTCCTCTAAAGGTTTATTGTTCATTTCTTTATGACATATGTTCTAGTGTGAGGCACATAAAATTTTTCTCTAGCAGATCACTGGAAGGTTTCTGACTGCTTGCAAGCATCATAGAATCAACTGGGTTGGAAAAGACCTCCAAGATCATCAAGTCCAACCCTTGATCCAACACCACCATGGTTACCAGACCATGGCAACTAAGTCCCACATCCAGTCTCATTTTAAAAACCTCCAGGAACAGTGAATTCACCACCTCCCTGGGCAGCCCATTCCAGTGTCTGATTAATCTCTCTGTAAAAAAATTTCTTCCTAATATCTGACCTATTTTCTCATCATTTGAGAATGTGTCATTCCTGATATTTGGGTTTAGTTTCTGAGGTTTTAAATGTGGAATCTTTGTATATCCTTAGGATGTGCTTTTTCAATTACAGAAATATAGAGCTGGGAAGCACCTCTAGTGATACCATAATTCATCCTCCAGCCCAAAGAAGTGTAGTGGCAGTGACTGTGTCATTCATAGCTGATGTTTGGCTGGACTGTTTTCATGGATCTCTTGTGATGAAGAGCCCAGAAGCTCTCCAGATATTTGCTCATCTATTTTGTTCTTTTCATTTTCCTTCCTGCTAAAGATTTTTCTGCTGTTGAATCTCTCGTTATACTTCAAACCTATTACTTTTTGCTGCCTGTACTGTAAAGGAGCAGATAGTTTTATTTCTTCTGCTGCACAACCACTTTTGGTGTACCCTGAAGTACATAGGTATAACTCATTTTTTCTGACATACATTATTTCCTCTTAAATCTTGTGATAAATGGTTTAAGATCCAGCAATATTACACTCTCCTGGACTTTCTGTTACAGACTTCGACAAATGGTGCACTTCCCTCTTCATCTCCTCTTATTTGTGTGTCTTTCTGGTCTTAGATCAATTCCAATGAGATTTCAGCTGTTTTATAACAATAGATGAATTTCTGGCTTCTCAACACCTGTCCCCCTGGTCGATAAGGTGAAAACTTTTCCCAGTATATGGTGTGTGATATTATGCATCAAAGTACAGGATTCTGTTAAATACACTGGAAAACTCATCTCAGGAGATGCTTCTCCTCCTTGGAGTGTTGCTGTTAATTCCCATGGAAATTCAGCTTGTTTGAGAAGCAACCAGATATTTGACTTTTTTACTGTAACCTTCAGATCTTATCTCTCTGGGCTCTTGTGAGTGCAGAGGTGTTAATGTAGTTCTACTTTTTTTTTTTTTTCCTGTGTCTGTAGTAGATTAACTGGCTTCAGGGGCTGTCTGGCTATATTCTGATGGCAAAAGTAATTTTAGGTTTCTCATCTCTTAGTCTTTCACCTTTTGCTTAAAGAACAACCAATCTTTCAGCCTGAAAACACGCATCTGTCAACAGCAGTCAATCACTGCAGGAATGTGTTGGGAACACCTCTCCCATTCAGCTTTGCTGACATGGTGATTTTTACTGCAAAGTGTTTGAACCAGTGAAGAGTTTGGCTGACAGTCCATTCTTCAATGGGTGGGATATGCCGGGAGAGGTGGTTTTTGAAAACTGACTGCCCTGCAGCTCTCTAGATTTTTCACATGGGCATCTGTTGTTGATGACGAGTTGCGTTGAAAACGCTGACAGGCAGATATCCCCTCACTGACTTATTATGTTCTCTAAGCTGGTGGCTTCTGTCTCATCTGACCACACAGCAGCTGGATGAAGGGCATCTTATACTAAAAACCTGAATTTCGTCAGCCTGAGGAATACAAAAGGTTCTGCATCTGAGGCTGCTACAACTCACGTTCTCAGTGGATTGTGTACAGAGTGAGATTTGTGCTACAAACCTGGCCAGAGGTTGCATACACATCTCACATTAATGGCTCCTTGAGATGTCTTCCTTCTCTCATAGGCCTAGTGCTATTTTATCTCAAAGTTTATTAAGAAATGCCATAACTATGCCATGTCCTCTGAGGTGAGTCTTTCTGGACATTCTACAATTTTTTTTCAGATTCTCCTATGTCTTCTAAGTCCTACCCTATGCCAGGACGTATGGCATTTGGTAGAGTTCTGGAGTTTCCTTGGATACCCAAGGAAACCCTTTCAGCCCTTCAGCCTGCAGAATCAAGTGTCCAGGGTGCAACTACCCCAGGTAGGATGATTTCTGACATTAGAAATCTGTTATCTTCAGAAGCCTTGATTAATATCTATTATGTCCGAGACATACCAGAGCCAACTATGTCGCTGCTCTTAAGAGAGGGTTGCAGTTGTACAACAGTTGCAGTTCTAGAGCATTTGCAGTTGTATAGCAGTACAAGATCTTATGGCTTTTTTTTTTTTTTTGTCTTCTTGAGGTTGGCAGAGCCCTCAGTTGTCCTTGGTGGCTGTTAGGACACATCAGATATGGGGAAATCTGTATGAGAAAGTGTTTCTTTTGGGAACGTATCTGCCATCACTGCTGATGTTTGCAGTTGTTTTCATCTACTCAGAAATGCCTGCCACTTGAGAATATCTACCACTGATCTTTACTGCTCCCTGAAAACTGAACTGACGTGCAGGCTGTCATTAATTTTGAATCCTGAAAATACTGTGCCAACCTCTCCTTCTTCCAAATGCTCAGCAGTCATTCTCTTTAAGTCGTGCCTGAACCAGGAATTCAAAGGATGGTATAACAATATGTTACATGTCTCCATCTCTGTAAATACATCCAGACTGTGGTCTCCAGTGGAGTGGAAAGACACTTGAGATTGCTAAAAACACGTTAGCTCAAGTCCTTCTGGAGCAATTGAACTGTGGCATCAGAGCTCAGTTGGTGTCTTAAGATGTCCTCATTTTCAGGATGCTGTGTTTTACTGCATTTCATTTGAATGAACCCATTTTAAATTATGCTGGATACCTCTGTGCTCTGCTGCATTTTGGAGAGCATGCTGACCTGCAAAGCACAGCTGACTGTGACCCGCTGAGCATGACTGCCAACACTCCCCGAAACAGCCGCAGTCTCCGAAACCTGGCAGGATCCTGCCCTTTGTTTTGACTCTTCAAAAACTTCATCAGAAAAGTTTACCTGCAGGGAAGACAGGGTCCTCTGAGAAATAGTCATGGGGTTCATAGTAGACAGGGCTGTCATATTTTGACTGCTTTGTGACCTGGTTATTAGAAGAAGGGATTTTTTTGCCTTTATCTTGCCATGAGTACAGAGCAGCAGGATGACCAACTGTCCCCTCCTACTACCCTGCCCTCCACATCTCTCCTATCCAGGTGGTAGGTGGCAAGAAGGAAGGAACCTCACATGACACATGTTTGTGTCATGCAGTGCAGTGTCCCAGATATTTGAGGGAAGCTGCAGTAGCAGCTTTGCAGTTGAAAGGCACTGAGACAACATGCCCCTTTCTATATTTCACTTCCTTCTTTTTTTCTCATCTCCTTGCTCTGTGGGGCTGCAGCCATCACCACTTCCAGACCCTGCATCAGGTTGTCAGCCTGCATTTTGCCACGCAGCGTGGTGTGATACCTCAGTGCTCAGTGCCCATGAGGCCACGCTTTCTCTGGACAGGCCATGGCACAGCCACACCAGACTCCCTGGTGACATCTCTCAGGCTTGTGTTTGTTCAGAACTGAGTCATATCTTTGATGCTGCCACATCACGGTCGCAAGGGTTCCTGTGAAGTGATACATTAAAAGTGCAGAAGAGATCTTGGCTAGGAAAAAGGCAATATTTATTACTCCTAGAGCTACTCTGTGTGGCTCAGCTCTGCTTCCCATTTAAAATGTCCCCTCCAGGCATCTTCCCAGCACTGTTCTGGAGGTAGGGAACATACATGGAGGCGGGGGTGGCAGACAGAGAACCTCCCTCAGCAGAATCCAGACCTCTGAATCACTCTTGACAGTCGGGAATGTGCTTTACTAATTTGGTCTCCTTCATTTTTAATTACCACAGATCTCCCTCTGATCTCCTCATGAGTCTGATAACAGGAAGGGAATTTAACTGATAAGGATCACTGCCATCAGGGCAGTGGCTTGGCTTTTTAAATGGAAAACATTGATGGTAGTCCAAGGGAGCAGTTTGCTTTCTGGGCTAAGCCCTTCCCTGCACCCCCTAATGGCTGGTTATCTCTAGAAACCCTCTGCTTTGGTGTGGGGCTGTAGGCAGTGCCTAATGGGGACTTTTTGGGGTTTGGCAGTGGGAACAGCACTTGGCATCGTGCTCCCGCTGACACTGCACTGC